CCTTGAAGCGGCCCACTACGGAGATGGGGGTAGGGGGACGGTGGGTGTGGCGCTGAGGTGCGTGTTCACTCACTTGTCTGTCTCCCCCTTTAACTTTTAAGGTTTTCAGATGTTATTTTAGCAACGATTTTGGCAACTAAGTCTGAAATGTGCGGCCAGAAGTTTGAGCTGAAGATTGATAACGTGCGGTTTGTTGGACATCCGACACTGCTGCAGCACGCGCTGGGGCAGGTACGGCCTGGCGGCGGCGGGGACAGCCCCTCTAGGGCAGAGGCCATCCATCCTGGGCAGTGACGGCCCATCCTGGTCTGTGGGGTAGACCTCTTGAGACTCTGGGGGACAGTGCAGGAGGAGAGAGAGGCTGCCTAACCCTGTGTGCATCTGTGTCTGCCCCACGTTTGGGTAAAGTTGCTTGTATTCTAGGTCTCTGCTGTTTCTGGCCACCCCTCATATAGGGTCCCTGCTCCCAGGGAGGCCAAGGAAGTGGGTGAAGTCGTATCTACCATGCCCTAGGACTTTGTATGACAGGGACCAAGCATTGCTCACATGGCAGGGAGGCTGAAGAGCATCTTCACCTGGCCAAGAGCTCCTGGCACCCAGGAGCCAGGTCCTTGATGGACAATGCCGGGCGGGTGCAGGTGAAGACGGAGGGGAGCTTCATGTGCAGGCAGCAGGAGCTGTGGAACCCCAAGCCTGCTTCTTAAACCAGGTCCAGGAAGGAACTCTGAGTTGGGTGGATATGCATACGAGGCCCCTCACTTCCCTTAGCTGGTGGCCTGTCCCCCATGGGGGGAGAAGGGGAGATTTGGAGCCTTCTTGTAGCTATAGGCAAGGGTAGCAGGTGGCCATGCCCAGTCATGGATCTGATGTGCCTGGAGGTGGCATTGAGCTGGCTTCTTGGACCCAGGGAGAAGGCAGGTGCTGAGAGGGCTGGCTGTCAGTGCTGCGTCTACTGCTCAGGCCTCTGCTCCCTGTGTGCTGCCCCGCCTGCCGTGTAGCGCGTTGCCTGACCTGCAGCAGGGGTACATCAGCCCCTCTGTCCTCCTCCTCCAGGCACTTGTAGTCACAGGCCGGTCCCATCCCACTGGGCCTCATCCTTCCACCTATGGGCCCGAAGTCCAGGGCTCCGAGTTGCTGCTTCTCTCACTTAGCGCCTTGTCTTACAGGTGTCCAAGACGGACCCATCCCCAAAGAGAGAGGCGCCCACCATGATTCTCTTCAATGTGGTCTTTGCACTGAGGGTGAGTGGGGGCACCCTGCGGGGGGTGCTGGGTCATTTCAAGTGTGTATGTCCTCAGCTCAGAGGTCAGGCTGTGGGGAGGGGGGCCTCCTAGTGCTCAGATCCCCTTCTTGAGGTATATGGGTGCCTTCTGGCTATGGACCCCCTTCCTGGGATACAGGCCAGTCCTGAGTGTAACCCCCACTTCTGGAATGTAGACCTCCCTCCTGGGTGTCCTCATTGTTCACTGAGTATTCTCTAGCTGGACCTTCCTGTCCGATGAAGCTGCCAGGACACAGAGAGGCAGTAACAGAAGTGCGCCCAGGGAGGGCGCTCTGTGAAGGGCGGCAGGATGCTGCAGTGGGGTGGCTGCACTCAGTGAGGGGGCTGGGAGGGACAGCACAGGCCCCGTCCAGTGAGTGGCCCTGCGGCTTTCCTGTCGGTGAGGTCCCAGGCACCTGGTTCACAATCAGCTGTGGACGGCACTCTCCCAGTGAGCCCACAGCACCACTGGTGACCAGGGCTGGCACTGGGGTACCAATTCAGGGAAGACACTGTCCCCTCCCACTCCCTGCATTACCCTGACAAGACAGCCAGAGAGAGGCAATTAGGTTAACACACAAACATGAACTGGGACAGCACCGTCCCTGTCAGTACCGATAGCAGGGTCCCGGCTCCTGCTGAGCAGCAGATGTGGGCCCTCTGCCCAAGGTCCCATGGGATTCAGGAGCATATCAGGAAGTGTGCAGATTGCAAGCGATGCAAAGATTTTTCAGGCCATAGTTACTTGGGAAACCCATGCCTCCCTGGGGGTCATCAGACAAGGCATTTTCGTAGGGTGAGAGGCCAGAGGTGAGGCGAGGTGGGGGATGGTTCCTGCCAGGTGGGAGCCCAGGGTTTGAGCTGTTAGGCACCCACCAGGCAGGGGCAGGGAGGCTGGGCTGGACGAGATCTGCTGTCTTTCAGCAGTTGTATGAAATGGTCGGAAGGGCCCTCGAAGACCTGCCCGTCCAGGTCCACAGCCAGCCCACTGGCAGCCAGGGGAAATGCCCCAGCTGCTAAAACATGTGTCCAGTCCTCCTGGCACCAGGCCTCGACAGCCTAGGACCTCTGACCTGTCCTGTCCTCGCAGACCTTCTCTGTGTCTGAGTTTGGCCGGGAGGCTGCTCCCCCGCCGCCCTCCCCAGCCCCCAGGCCAAGTGCCAGCCAAGGCCAGCTGAGGGACAGCTTGGCCATTGATGCCCATGAGGTGCATGGCTCTCATTCCCACGGGAGCTGCCTGCCTGGCCCAGCTTTGTGTATCCACAGGAGCAGGAAGCTGACAGTGCCCAGCCCCCATGTTGCGTGCAGCACTGGTGTGGCTTGCTCTCAGGCAGTGCTGTGGCCCTGCTGCACTCGGGAGCTCCCCAGCCAGCATATCCTTCACCTGTGTCTGATTTTGAGGCAATAGTGTTTGCTCTGCAAAACTAGGTCCCAGTCCTGTGATTTCTGGAGGGACACCGTAGAGGGGACACTGTAGATGGGGAGAGTGTACTGCCTGGGGAGGGGCCATGTTTTTGGCCTCTGTAGCCGGCAGGTGGATGCTGCCAAGGCACAGGTTGTCCGTGTGACTCTCCAGTCCAGATGGAGGCCGGGCCTGCTGCCCCCAGGTTGGGGTTCTGCCCAGAGGCTGGCTGTGGTCCTCAGTGGGGCTGGACCTGTTTACTGGATAAACAGGAGGGGGCCGCACCCAAGGCCCCAATCAGTGTCACCACCCATCCCTCTGTCTTCACCCTGCTCCCACGATGACTCATCAGTTCAGGAGCCTCCCGAAACTCTGAGTCATGGTGGCCTCTATCTGTCCCTGGGGCGCCCTCAGTCCTGCCCAGCCCACTTGTGGCCCCTGATAGACTCCAGAGACTGAGGTGAGATGTCCCCCCCACCCCATTCCCGAGAACCCATACACTTCCTTGAAACACGCAGCAGGGTGGGCCTTGGAGTGGGCTCTGCTCCCACAGAGGAGGGGGTGTTGGGGGGCATGGAAGAGCTCCTGCTGGTCGAGCACGGCCACAGCACAGCCAGCACTTGTCCTGTGTGTTCCTGCCCCAACATCTCACACATTTGACCAGACCCCCTTCTCAGTAACCATTGTTTTCCTCAAATGAGGCTGGGGCCAGGGTGACCTGGCAGTGGGTGGCAGCCTGGCCAGGGCCCCAGTGGAAGTCTCCCTCGTGCCTTCCTGTGCAGGCCCAACACGGTAGCCCTGCCAGGAGACCCCACGGAGCTCTGCGCTGCTGCCCTTACAGTGACTCCAGGACGGGGTCAGGCACATCTGTCCACACCGTTCCTCCTCCTGGGCTGCTGGGCGGTCACTTCTAAGGACTGTCTCTGGAAGGGACATGGGAAATGGCTGGTGGGTGTCCAATCAGGGGGCTCCTGTAGGGCTCAGCTCTGCTTGTCCTACCTGCTGCCCTGCTCCCTGCACACCTGAATGGCCCCTGCTTCCGCCCGCAGGCCAACGCGGACCTGTCGGTCATCAGCTGCCTGCACACGCTGTCTCGGCGCATCGCCGTGGTGCTGCAGCATGAGGAGCGGCGCTGCCAATACCTCACTCGCGAGGCCAAGCTGATCCTGGCGCTGCAGGATGAGCTGGCCGCCATGGCCGACGGTGAGGGATGGGTGATGGGCCCTGTTTGCCAAGTCTGCACAGGAAATCTCTTGCGCCTTGGTGTCCTCTCTGACTCTGAAGCATGTGGGTGCCAGGGTCAGTGATGAGGATTCCCACTGTGGCGCTCTGAGCCCATAGAAGTTGTGTTTGCTTGTTTGTTAACATTCCCTTCAAAGACTTGAGGTGGCCGAGGAAAGGAAGGCAGAGTGAAGAGGCTTTAACGTAAGTCCAGCTTGTGTGGGGGGTGGGTGGGAGGGGCTCAGGACTCAGGCCAGTGAGAGACTTTCCCTCCCTCGTGAACTAGCTGGCAGGACGCCTGCCCATTTGGGGCTGGGGGTGCCCAGTCAGGGAGATGGGCCGTGGGGCAGCTCTGGGGCCACACGTGGGCTGGAAGGTGCCCCACGGGACACTGCTCTGAGCAGGCACTGCGAGGTCTGGTGCCACCGGGTGCAGAGAGTTTATAGAAACGTTTGATTCAGTCACCGGTGCTTCATTAGCATCCCGGTCGGGCCTGTGGTGCTGACCTGGTGTGGCCTGTCCTCTGCTTCCTGCAGCCAGCGAGGGTCCCCAGTCGCCGTTCCACCACATCCTGCCCAAGTGCAAGCTGGCCAGGGACCTGAAGGAGGCCTACGACAGGTGAGACAGGCCACTGTGCCCTGCCTGGGCCCGGCTGGCCTCCCTCTCCCCACGGTGCTCTCCCTCACTGTGCAGGTGTTGGAAGCCCCTTGAAGGCTGGGGCGAGGTGGGCCCTGTGGGCAGGGGCTGGGCACGCCCAGCAGCTGTTCTCTTGCCCTGCTCATCTCCTGTCAGGATGGGCTGGTGCCTTCCCGGGGTCTCGCTGTCCTGAGCTCTGAGGGGCCTGCCTGCCCGTGGGCAGCGGAGTCAGGAGCGGGTCTGCGGGGCTGCTTTGGTTTCCAGCCCCTGAGCTCTGGCAGTGCCAGACCATCCCTGTCTCCCTGGGCCACGTGGTCATGTGGCGTTGTCTGTGTTGTGGTCATCACTGCCCTCCTGCTGGCGTGGCTTATTCCAGAAGCTCTTCATCTGGAGAGAGATCTGTGGGCCTCGGCTCGATTAGCCCGCAGCTAATCTGCGATTTGAGAAACAGACCAGCTGCTTCCTGTTTCTAAAGGGAAGACGGACTGCGGCATCTTCGCTGGGTGGCATCTGCCTACACGGTGTGGCACTGAGGGACACTGGAGGCCGGCCCAGGTCAGGACAGCTGGCTCTGGGGCCAGACTGAGGCGCAGCACCACCTAGAGGCCATGCTCCAGAACTTCCTGTTCGCTGGCCCAGGTCCCTTCCTGTGAGCCCCCCCACCTCCCTGCCTGCTGCCCACTCCTCGGTGACCAGCTTCCGGCTCCTCTCACGATGTGGGACAGGCCAGAGTGCTGGCCCGGCGGTGGAGGCTTCAGTGCTGGGGCTGCCCTGGCAGCCCCAGGAGCCTTTCCCTGACTCTGGGTTAGCGGCAATATGGAGAGACCCCAGCACTCCAGGGGCAGGGGAGCCTCTGATATCAGCTGGGCCCTCTGCAGACACCTGGGTCCCACAGCCCCCCACCCCTCTCAGTGCTGCCATCAGGCTCTGGGGCGACTGCAGTCTGAAGTGACCACAAGGGACCAAAAGGGGGGTTCAGCGCTCCTTTCCAGGTGCTGACACAGGGTGATGGGCTGCGTACCGCCACTCTGAATGGCTAGTGGGCCACCCTTTGCCCCTGTGGCCCTGTCACAGCCTCAGGGCACAGTGTCCCCGAGGAGCCTCACTCCAGATGCTGTAGGAGCAAGGCCATACCTCCCCTGCCTCTCAGCTGAGCGTCCTGGGGCCAGAAATGGTGGCCTGGTCCCTGGCAGCCTCAGTGCGTGGGTGTGCCTGAGAGATGGAGTGAGATCCACATAGAGGCTAGCCGTGCTGTGTACCTGGACACATGTGGCAGGGCTGTCTCTTGGTCCCCTTCCGCTGACCTGGCGGCAGTTTGACACGCCCCCAGTCAGTCTCGCTCCCTTCTTCCTGGGAGTGCCCCCTCCTGCCCCTGGCAGTATGCTAGTCTCCAGGGTGGTGGGTGCCTCACCTATGCCCACACGAGCAGGCTGGTGGTGCTGTGGGTGCTGCGTACTGAGCCAGGCAGTCCTCAGAGCAGGGCTGGGCAGGGGACCAAGAGATGTGGGACACAAAGGCACAGCAGGCACGGGGCGGGGTTCCTGCTCAGTGGGTTCCGAGATGGGCCAGTGACAGGTGGCTGAGGTGGGGTGTGGCAGGTTTGAGTGGAGCCTGGATGGACACATTGGGACGGAGAGACTGATGGAGGGTAGATGAGGACGGTTGGGGGGTCGAGGAGTTGACAGTGGGGGCAGGTGGAGGCTGATGGGTGAAGTGCTGGCTGCAGCACGTGGAGGTGGCCAGGACCAGAGGCAGCCCTGGGTTGTGGCTGCGCCCTGCAGGTGGAGCAGACCAGACTGGGATGGTGTCACAGTGTGGGGTCTGAAGGAATGGAGTCACCATCTCCAGGTGGCTGCTCACAGTAACAGGTAGTCTCCACTTGTAAGAGGCACCACTATCATGGGGCGGGGGGCGGCACCAGTACTGAGGGGTTCTCGTGGAGTCTCCGACTCCTCACCCTTTCTTCTGGAGATAGGACCATGCCCTAGCCAGACTTGTGACTCGGCTTCCATCAGGGGTCAGTACAGGTATCAGGTGGGCGGGTGGGTGAGGGGCATGGGGACTAGGGTTCACCCGGGCTCTTGGTCTCGGGACAGATGGCATGCTCTCAGCTCTGGTGCTCTGGCTGCCAGCATGTCGTCACCTGGTCAGCCTGGGTGGGCTCGGGGTGTGCAGGGTGAGGACCACCCCCCTGCGCCTGTCCCCCAGTCTCTGCTCCTCAGGCGTGGTGCAGTTGCACGTCAACAACTGGCTGGAGGTGAGCTTCTGCCTGCCGCACAAGATCCACTACGTGGCCGAGAGCCTCATCCCGCCCGCGGCCATCGAGCGCAGCCTCAAGGCCATCCGGTGGGTGCCCCCAGCCCTGCATGCGTGCTCCGTCTCATCAGCCGTGGGTGCCAGGCTCACCCACCGGCCTGTTCTGCTGGCAGCCCCTACCACGCCCTGCTGCTGCTGAGTGATGAGAAGGCTCTGCTGGCCGAGCTGCCCGTGGACTGCTCCCCAGCCCTGGTGCGCGTGGTAAAGACCACCACGGCCGTGAAGAACCTGCAGCAGCTGGCGCAGGATGCCGACCTGGCTTTGCTTCAGGTAGGCCCCGTCCCCACGCAGGCGCCTCTCTGGGTTCTGCTGTCTCAGTCACACGGGGGTGGGGGGTGGGGGGGAGTCCGGAGCCCCGCCTGTCAGGACACTAGCTGTTGGAGGGGTCGGGGATGATCCTCGCGCTGGGGCCAGAGCTCAGCGGGAGCGGTTGGCGTTAGAGTGGGGTCACAGACCTTCACTCTGGGTGCTCCTGACTGTCAGAGGTAGAACAGTCTGGAAGCCGAGAGTGGACCCCACGTGCCGAGCACAGCCCAGTCTCAGGCCTGTGGCTCCGAGTGCTTCCTTGGGTCTGAGTTGAGCACAGGAAGTGCCCTGTCTGTGGCCTGGGCATGAGGAGAAGTTAGAGGTAGTGGGCAAGGGCTGTTGGGGGCGGATGGCTCTGGCAACAGCTCGCTGACCTCGCCAGTCACTCAGGACCCAGCAGGCAGCTGCGCTGGTGGCTGGGTTGGCACAGAGCCTGGGGGTTCCTGGTTGGATGAGAAGGATGTGGCCTGTGGGCACCAGGGGGCAGCAGAGGCCGGATTTGGCATGGCACTGGGCCCAGCATGGTGCTGTCTCCACCGGCTGGGGAAGGGTGCCCTGCGGGGCCTCAGAGGCAGGAGCCCCAGCCCCTGGCGGTGGTTCTGTTATTGCAGCCCACCCACCGAGCTCAAAGCCTGCTGGCTGTCCCAGAGGTCTGAGGCCTGTTGAGCAGTCAGGGGGCCCGGCACTCTTCCCCTCTAAAGAGGGGGCCTCAGAGGCCCTTGGGCAGCTCTGCTGCCCTACCAGGTCACTGTGCCTTCTGCTGATTCCTCAGAACACTGTGAGCCTCCCCCATGGGCCACCCTGCAAGGCCTGCATGTTGCTGCCCGGTACCCACGGGTGCTGGGCCACCCCTGCAGGCCACACTTAAGCCATGACTAGAGCCAGCAGCTCTGCATGGGGACTGTCCCGTGGAGGCCTCATCTGTCTTCCCGGCCCTGGCTTCAGAAGTGCCTCTCACAGTCAGTGGTCCTCTCGTGCCCCGCCCCACTTCCTGCCCAGCCTCCCTGAAGCCCTGTTTCTTGGTGGGGGTTGCCAGTGTGGCCCCACGGAACTCAGGTGGACACAGGCTGACCTCTGGGGATGGTGGCATGCAGTCAGGCCCAGGCATGCCTGGAGCCAGTGTTGGGGACACTGGAAGTGGGCCAGCCCATGCTTCTCCCTACAGCATTGGTTTCCAGGCTCTGGTCAGTTGGGTCTTGGTTGGTGTCCCTGCCTGAGGCTAAGGGTGAGCCTGGTCTGATCCCAGCCTTGGCAACCAGCTGTCAGAGGGTCCTGTAGGGCGCTCTCCCAGCCAGCCCTCCGGGCCCACAGGTGTTCCAGCTGGCAGCCCACCTGGTGTACTGGGGCAAGGCCATCATTGTCTACCCGCTGTGCGAGAACAACATCTACATGCTTTCACCCAACGCCAACGTGGGTCTGTGAGTGACGGGCCAGGGGGCTGCCAGGGCTCCACCTCCCACTCCAGCTGAGGGCATTGGGTGGGCACCATTGCCCCCTAGGGCCCCACCTCCCCACTTGGAAAGCTGGGCGCCAAGTACAAGGCCCAGTGGGCCCTGTGCTGAGCCCGCTCCCGCCCATCTACTCCAGGTATTCCCCGCTGGCCGAGCAGTTCTCCCGCCAGTTCCCGTCCCACGACCTGCCGTCTGTCTTGGCCAAGTTCTCCTTGCCTGTCTCCTTAGCAGAGTTCAGGAGCCCCCTGGCGCCCCCAGTGCCAGAGGTAAGGCCAGGTGCACGTGGGCCTCAGGAGCCCTCAGCACCCCTGGGACTGGGCAGGCCTGGGGTCCTGCTTGGCTGGGCAGCCTCTGAGAGCCTCGTCCAAGCCTCAGCCTCCAGGCAGCATGGGTATTAGGGACACACAGTTGGGATTCTCAAGGTCTTGTCTTCAGGGGCAAGGGCAGGTAGGCCAGGGCAGGCCTGTTGACTGCAGGAGGGGACAGCCTGCTCAGATGGTGACGTGATGGTGCTGGCTCAAGGCTGACACTGAATGAAAGCCCAGTGGAGCTATCTTCCCCCGTCCTCCCCCTCCCAGGCTGCCCTCTTTCAGGATGGAGGTGGCTGGTGGGGGCCCTGCTTCCCCACCATGTTGGCTGAAGCCCTATCCATGTTTCAGTTTGGTCACAGTGAGGTTCACAGGGGGTCGGTTCCCTTTGGTTCTGACCAGCTGCCCACTCCTGCGGGGGTGGCCTGGTCCTTTCCAGGGACACACACCACACTCCTTCCAATCTAGGGGTGCTTTCTCAGTAGTGGGGCAGCAGGGAGGCTAGCACCACACTCCAGGGGTTCCTGGCCCTGGCCCCTTCTTCTGACCCTACTTGAGCAGACTTCTCTGGCGTCCAGCCTGTAGAACGGAGGGCAGGGTGCACAGAGCAGGAGGCAGATCCAGGTGAGGGTGAGGTGCTAAGGGATCCTGTCCACCTGCCAAGGTGGCTGTGCGAGGTGCGGGCCTCTGCCTCCAGGGACAGGTTGTCTCCGTGATGACTTATGGGAAGGGAGGGCGTGAGGAGCCCCACCCACTGCCAGTCTCGCCCCGCCCCATCCCGCAGACCCAGCTCATCCAGATGGTAGTGTGGCTGCTGCAGCGGCGGCTGCTGGTCCAACTGCACACATACGTCTGCCTCATGGCCGCACCCCGTGAAGAGGAGGCACCGCCACGGGACGATGACCCGCCCCTCCCCGCCAGAGTCGGGGGCCGCAGCCTCAGCACGCCCAACGCCCTCAGCTTCGGCTCCCCAAGTAGGGGACAGACGGGGTGGGGGTGGGGGGCATGGCAGGTGGTTCTCCAAGTAGGGGACAGACCTCCAGGGCAGGGAGGGGCACACCAGGGGGCACATGGGGACAGACCTCCAGGGCAGGGAGGGGCACACCAGGGGGCACATGGTTCTCTAAGTAGGAGACAGATGTCCCAGGACAGGGTGGGGACACCAGGGCCACACGGGTACCACTGTGTCTGTAGGTGTACATCTGCACACACAGGCTCATACTCACGTGAACACCCACACGTGTGCACCCTCATGTATATCTGCAAGCATGCACTGACACCCCTTGCACACAGTACACATGCGCTAATACACTTGCATGTCTGTGCACATGTGTACTCATTGGTGCATGCGCGGCTTGTGTGTTCACACCCTCCCCTGCCCCCTCCCCACAGGGTCTGTCTGCACAGTCTTCACTGCCCCTCCCCCCTTCTCTCCAGAAGGCAGGCTGGTCCATGCTGTAAGCCCTACAAGGTCCACATGGAGGGGTAGTTCTGGACACGGACAGGGGTTCAAAAGGCTGCTGCTTTCTTGACTCAGGGGTCCTCAGGTCCAGGGAATGAAGCCCTGACTTTGCCCCACCCCACCCCCAGCCAGCAGCGATGACATGACTCTGACGAGCCCCAGCATGGACAACTCCAGTGCTGAGCTGCTACCCAGCGGGGACTCACCACTCAACAAGCGGATGACTGAGAGCCTGCTGGCCAGCCTGTCGGAGCACGAGCGGGAGGCCATTCTCAGCGTGCCAGCCGCCCAGAACCCCGAGGATCTGCGCATGTTTGCCAGGTAGGGTGACCTGAGGGGCCAGCTGCATGGGGCAGCCCAGGTAGTAGGTGGTAGGGTTGGAGGGCTGCAAGGGGCTGGGGAGTTGAGGGTGACCCAGAGGCCAGGAAGCCTTGGGCTAGCAGCTTGAGTTGGGGTGTCTGGTGTGCCCCAGGCTCCTGCACTACTTCCGGGGCCGCCACCACCTGGAGGAGATCATGTACAACGAGAACACGCGGCGCTCACAGCTGCTCACGCTCCTGGACAAGTTCCGCAGCGTGCTAGTGGTCACCACCCACGAAGACCCCGTCATCGCCGTCTTCCAGGCACTTCTGCCCTGAGCCACCGGCCTGGAGCCTCCACCAGGAACATCCAGGGCCGGGGTCCACCCCTCCTCTCTGTGGGCACGAACACGAGGCGCACGCCAGGCATGCACACCACTCTAGAACAAGAGCATTTATTTGTAGCCTAAACAAGTAAAAACCACCTGGTGGGCCTCAGTTCAGGGCTGCACCCGCTCAGCCGCCCTGTCCACCACGCTGACAAAGGGGCTGCCCTGCACGTAGAAGCGCAGGGCCTTGTGGGTCCACTCCCCCGCTTGACCGATGCCCACCCGGGCTGCAGCCACCACGGTGGGTTCAGGCCCTGGGGGGCCGGGCTCCATCCACACTGCCCCGTCCGTCGCCAGGTCACGCTGGTCGAAGCTCTTATCGATGGCCAGGGCCTGGCACAGCTTGGAGGGGCCACTGCAGAGCTGGCGGTCCTTGAGGGTGCGCCCAGAGGTGCCCTTGCCCAGGGAGCTCCGCAGCTGCCTCATGCTCTCCAGGCCCTCCAGGGGCTCCAGGGCCCGCAGCAGGACACACGCCCCGTCCCCTGCAGGACAGACGGACCGGCTGCAGGAAAACACAGCTGCCTTGGGGTGGGGGGTGGGTGTGGCTGTGCCAATGCTCAGGAGTGTCAGGCAGCCCTTAAGGAAGTTTCCAATCCCACTTCCACCCCGGCCAGCTCTGGGAGTCCATACTTGACACAGCAGGAGCAGTGTTGCCCTCTTTAGCCTGGCTGAGGTCCCCTCCCCAAGCCACTCAGGCTGCCTTAGAGGCACAAGATGATGACCGGCCTGGATGAAGAAATGGCACTGCCTAAATTCTCTGCTTGTAAAGGTGGGGCTGAGTCCTCCTGAGACCCACCGGCCCCAGCCAGCTCAGCTGGCCCCTCCCACCTGCACTGCCAGGATCACCTGTAGCTCTGAGGGTCAGCCTTGCTCCTGGGCCCCTGTCCACCCAGGCTCCCAGATGCAGGCCCTTGGTGGGACCAGGTGGCCTGACAGCTCCAGAGAACTGGCCCTGGGTGGACACCTGCTGGCACTGGGCTTGTGGCCAGATGTCCCTCAACTAGTCAGTTTTCAAAAACCACGACCTAAGGCAAGGGCAGGCCTGACACTCAGCCCTGTCTGCCACCCTGGGCTGCTCCGGCCACCATGGCAAGAGTGGCCGAGCCCCTGGGCAGCTCATCTTCCTACTCCACAGGCGAAGGAATGGCCTCTTCCCACAGGTGGCTGTGAGTTTCCACACCTGACCAATAAAGCACACTGACAACTAACCCCTCTTCCTGTGAGTCTCTCCCTTACCCTCTTGTGGGCCCTAACCCAACCCCCATCCTTACTGCTCCCCCTGCATGACCCTGGCACTGACCATTTGAGACACGGCCACTCAAGGCCGGGACATCCCAGGAGCTCCTCGCTGTGTTGCCCAAGCTCATTGCAGCTCCACATCAGGACGCTTAGGGGCCACTGAGCTCTTGCAGTCAGGCAAGCCTGCAGGGGGCTGCCACCATCTGACACTGCGGTCTCGCTAGACACCTGCTCCGCGGGCCAGGGGCCCAGCCCCAGGTTCTCCTGTTCTCACCGCCCCCCCCAGGCTCACAGCTGCCACTCCAGCAGCTCACCTGCCAGTACTCGTACTCTGACACCCCATCAGGTAACCTCACACCTGGGGGCGCTGCTCAGGACCCCACCCATACTAATGGCATCTGCCTCGCCTGGCCAGCTGCTGGCAACCAGACCCGGCTCCCGACAAGACCTGTGAGAATTACTGGCCAGGGCTCCACCCTGCTGGACAGCATGCAGAAGCACATGCTGCAGATGATGTGCATGTATGGGGTCCCCCCCTCCCCCACAAACTTGTGCCCAGCCTATGCCCCACGTCCACCTGCTCACCTTGGCTGGACACGTTCATGCAGAAGTACATGCCGTAGATGATGTACACGTACAGGGTGCCCGGTTTCATGAACATGCCGCGGTTCCGGGCTGTCTGCCGGCCGCCCCTCGAGTGAGCCGCCTCGTCATCAGGGCCCAGGTATGCCTCAGTCTCCACAATCCGACCCCGGAGCTCCGTGTGGTCAGCCAGCTGCCGCACCAGGACCTGCAGGTCATGTTCTGTCTGCTGAGGCCCCAGCCCCGATACCCCCTCTGCCCTGCATCCAGCTTTACCCACCCATCGAGTCCTGGCCACAGGTTAGCAGTCCCTCAAGCCAGCCATCTAGTGTCTGTCCCCTGCTGCCTCCTCCCCAAGTCCCTGCAGGACCCCAGTACTCAGCAGGGAGCTAGGTGGGTGGGCATGCAGGGTACAGTCCAAGGAGCCCCCACCCTCACAGACTGCCAAAAAGGACCCCCCCCACCCCCAGCTTCCGCTGGTGTGGCTCTGGACGGCTGCCCAGTTCAGAGGCTTTTCAAAGGGGCTTTGAGTGAAGAGCCAGCTGCCTGCAGTGCCTCCGGTCCGTGAGGGGGAGGGGAAGCAGGCCAGTTGGAAGGGAGTAGGTCTTCTCACTGGGACCACACCTGGGTCAGAGAAGCCTGTAGCTGGGCTCAAGCCCCAAGCCCAGCTGGAGGCCCCAGCTGCCACTGGGAGCCTCAGCTCTGGGGCCAAAGGATTAGGAAAGGTCCCAGCCAGTGGGGGTGGGGGTGGGAGTGGGGGAAGACTCATGGAATGCCAGTGTGCTTGGAGCCAAGGCCTGGCCAAGGCCTGGAGGCTGTGGGCCTCTCAGCCAAACAGTGGCCACTGTCCCTGGGCTGTGCGGCAAGGCTGTGGCCAGGGCCCAGGGATGGCTGGAGGCCGTGCCTGAGCCAGGACACCAGGGCCTGACTGAGCCTCAGGGCCAGCCCCACATCCCTGGGGCCATGCCAACTCCCACTCCCTCCTCAGCCCTGGTCAGCCCCCATCAGAACAGGAGAGTGGGGAGGGGGGCTTCAGTCACCACCAGAAGCCAGGGCTCTTCAGGAAAGATGGGGAACAAGAGGGCATTCCCTGTTCCCCTCTCTGGGGCTGTGGCACCAATGTTCCTCAGGGTCGGAGTCCACCCCAGGCACTATGGTCGGATCAGTCAGTATGCCTTCCCACCCTGCCTGCCAGAGCCCCCAGGGTGGTCCCACATGGAGGGGTGCTGTAGCCCCTCCCCACTGCTCTGAGCTTCAGCCCACGTGACCTCGCCTGGGGAGCCAACTTGGCTTAGTGCCACGTGGTTGCCATGGCAACTCACCACACCAAGGACCTGCTTCCAGTGTCAGTGAGGGGTCACCCAGGGTCACCCCATCCTGACGGGTGACCTGAACCTGGGGGTGACCCAATCCTGGCTGATAGAGGAGCTGAGAGTCTCTGAGGTGGGCTGGCCTCATTCGCAAAGGGCCCAAAGGTTGAGATGCCCTCTTTCCTTTGGCACATCCCGGCTGTGGGAAGCCCCACTCCTGCCAGGGCTCAGCCGGAATGCCTCACCTGAGGGGTCTGTCTATCAAGTTCATGGATCCCATGGCCAAGGTACATCCTTGTGGGGCGGGCTCTGGGCCCCTGCTCTGCTGGCCAGGTCATGTATCAGCCCTGATCCATGCAGCAGTGACTCCTGGCCTGGCTTTGTGACCAGCCACGAAGCCCACCTCTCTGGAGCGATTTCACCCTTGGCGGTGGGTCAGGGCACCTCTCGCAGAGAGACAGTGAGGCCCCTGTCCCAAGGACCCCAACCAGCTGGTGCTGTCACCTGGTGCACAGGCATGGCTGCAGCTGGATGGGCCCTGGGCAGGGCTCACTCTCGTCCTGGAGGGGCAGCCGAGCAGCAGGCCAGCGCTAGCCACAGTTGTCGTCAGGTACGATCCACAATGCAGACGTGGGGCTGCGGGAAGGGGGCAGGGGGCGGGCAGGCAGAGAACTGGAGAAGCTGGCCCTGAGGGAGTCCTGGTGGAGCAGCAGCAGGTGTGGCATCACCCGAGGGCACAATCCAGGTGTCTGGACTAGGCCCCAGGCATAAGCGGGCCCTGCGAAACACCTGCATGGCGACACCTGTTCCTACCAAGGCCAACTCTCCCAGATGCCTGCCCACTTTACCTGCCCCAGAAACGCCTGGGCTAGGGCAACCGCAGGCTGGTTAAAGAACTCAGGTCCCAGCCGGGCAGGGGGTTCCCGTGGGCTCAGGAAGTAGATGCTGCGCTGGGGGCTGAGGGTGGCGGGTGGTCCTGAGCAGGGCTTTTTGCTGGGTGGCATCCTGGCTGTGTCCGGTGGCTCTGCTTCTGCCAGGCGCTGCTTCTGCCTGGCCCTGCGTAAAAGCTGCAACAGGAATGCGGCAGGTGAGGGGTCGGTCAGAGCCCAGCTGAGGGGTGGCCCTGCCGGCTTTCTCATCTACAACTAGGGGCGGCCACCTCATGGAACCAACAGGAGGCGCCGACAGAATGCCTGCACCCAGGGCAGGACAGCACCTGGGACCCCCGTGGGGACAGGCGGGCACGGCTGGGTGGATTCTCTGAGCTGCATGAGAAGTGGCCTAGGCTGGCAGGAGGGCTGAGACAGAGCAGGAGGCACATCCGCAGGACTCAGGGTGGCACCCCAAGGCTTCTCATGGGGCAGTGATGCTGAACTTGGCCAGCAGGCCTGCCTGCCTGCGCCCCCGCCCCCCTCCTGCTTTCTGCTCCTCACACAAGGAGCAGACTTCCTGAGCTTGTTCCTGAACTTTGCCCTTTGGCCCCTCACCCCGACTCAGAATTTAAAAATACAGACAGGAAGTGTCTGGGGCCCAGTATGTAGGGA